TTCACACAGCTTCGTTTGTGAGCCACCGGATGGTTGCTGTGAAAACTGAGAAGCTGTGTGGTGTTCGTTGCCTTCCTATAAACCGTCGTTTTAAGTTCACCGTTAAGGTTCTGTCTGATGACGACATCCAAGAAGGGCAACTGCTGTACCTGTTCTTCTTCCCTCGTGAATTCTATATCAGGGAAGACTGCGTTGAGCAGGCTATGGAAATGTTGCAGCATGTCCTTCTTTACGATGACGAACGTGTCGTCAACGTAACGGCGCCAAAACACCGGCTCATGTTGGAGGAAGGCAATCTTTTCCAACTCCTGTAGGACCAGTTCTGCCACCAAACCGGAGACCGGTGAACCCATTGGGGTTTCCTTGATTTGTTCATAAGTCTCTCCCGCAAAAGTGAAGAAAGTTTGTTGGCAGAATTCGAACAGCCTCATGAGGTGTTCAATTTTGAGGGCATTCTGAGTCTCATCGTACGCCTCTTAAAGTACGAGTCTGAAAGCTCAGGACAATAAACGAAGTGTTCCGGTGCTCGACTCTTCTTCTTCTTCTTCTTCTTCTTCTTCTTCTTCTTCTTCACTTAAGTAATGTTCCTCTTCGTGTACGACGCAAGAACTGTCATGAATAGTATATCTCAGCCAACTAGGCCTGCCGTTTATTCGGAGCAGGTGCTGGGACGCAGATCGCATGTAAACGCTGAATTTACTTCACTTGTTCTGACAAGTTAGAGAAACCAGTTTGCATTTTGAAGAAGAGCAGAGATGATCTTCCTGCCGTATGTTAATAGATGCGAGCCTACAAGCCAAGTTGATTGGTCAGCCGGGCGTAGAAAACGCCCCAAGGCGCAATCGCTGATACCAATAGAACATGGGAGGATTAAACAGTGGCGAAGCAATGCTGGTGACTTCGCTGATTGACTCTGGGATAGCGGCCGTCCTGTGAAACGGCCATTTAGGCGAGCCAAAAAGTTTGGGCCAATAAGACCGGATTAACCGGAGTCCATTACATCTCCTCGAACTAGCGCCCAACGAGCTGAAGGGCGTAGACGCTGCGCTGACACACAGTCGGTGGGCTAACTCATGAAATGTCAACCGAAATCCCGAAATTCGTTTTCGTTTCGAAAAGATTGATTAAGTAGGGTTGTAAGGCTAGTCAGCCTGCAACATAATTGTATAATATTTCAGTTACCTCAGGATGCCTGCTTTCGAATGGACTTCCTTCCGGCTGCATGCAAAAACTACACTGTAAAAAACGACTATTTATGTAGCATGAATTTTTCTCATTGATTTTCGATGCCCCTAAAAGTCCAATTATATTTCATGGAAAAAGGCATAAAAATATTCATTCTTTTGTTCATTCGGCAGATTATTAGGTCTCCTTCTAATTTCATACTCGAAAGAGGGAAATAATTCGGTTTTTAAAAAAAGTTTCTCATTGTGAGATTTTTTAATACCGTGAAATGGCCGTTCATAAATCGTCATGTCTCTGCATCTACCAATGCGGCTTGAAAAGTTAACAATATGGATTAAATCCACTGCTGGATTTTATGGACCCTATATAGTCCCCTTTATTACGGTAGAGAAATGTGTGGTTTTCCGTACGCGGAAAACATACGGCTTGTAGTTTGGAAACCCTGAATCCAAGTGTAACGATAGAGGGGGGCAAAAATAATTAGGGAATTGGAAAACTTTCTCAAAACCGAATTATTTCCCACCTTCGAGTATGAAATTAGAAGAAGACGTAATAATCTACCGAATGATCAAAAGAATGAATATTTTTATGCATTGTTTCCATGAAATATAACTGGATTTTTAGGGTCATCGAAAATCAAAGTCGAAAATGCATGTTACTTACGTAGTCACTTCTTACAGAGTATAGTTTTTACATGCAGCCGGAAGAAAGTTCATTCGAAAGCCGGCGTCCTGAGGTAACTGAAATATTATAGAATTATGTTGCAGGCTGACTAGTTTTGCAACCCTATTTAATTAATCTTTTCGAAACGAAAACGCACTTCGGGATTTCGGTTGACATTTCATGAGTTAGCTCACCTACTGTAGGTTTACCTGTTCATCCGCGTTGGTGAAAAGGTGAACTAGCGGACTGTCTTGTGGCTGCCGGCAGGTGTTCATGCCATTCAGTGATTGCTCGTTGAGTATCATGATATGAGCTCGCTTCTGGCCCACGCCGGCCAGACTCTCTAGTCAGACTTTACCGTCAGTCACCTGTTCGGTCCAACCTCACTTGCCACCACCTGTATCATACGCGGTCAGGACTGCAGCCTCGTACCGGAGGACTTCTTCGAGTTAGCAACCACCACAAACCTACGAGGTCATCCATTCAAACTACGTGTGATCGGAGCTAGGCTGGACACACGAAAGGTCTTCTCTAACAGAGTGCTTGAAGCTTGGAACGCCCTGCCTCCGGATGTCCTTATGTCGGCTTTCGTCGAGGTCTTTAAGAGGAGGCTGGATTTGTATGACAGTGTCCACTAAATGACCACCCGACCCCTGAAACCTTGACAAATCCAGTTGTTATAATACTACTTACTATGTTTCAGTAACATTTAAATTGAATTTATTATTGTCTCCAACCCATCGCCTACGCTTACAGACATGTACCGGTGCAACTTTTGTCCCTGGGGATATTTTTTATTTCCTTGCACTCGAAACGACCACTGTACCACTGCTCGTACCCCTAACACTCGAGACAGTTTGTTTTTTCTGTACAGAGTTGACGCTTTTACAATTATTTGTTACCTTTATGATACCTTTTCCAGTGTAGGTGAAGGCCTACATTTCCCTCAATAAAACTGAGCTGAACTGAACAAAAATAGCAACATATCGGTCGTAGTTCCAAAAGATGAATGGGATAAGAGCTAAAAGAGCGTTTAGAACGGTGGGAGGCAGCTCACTTGTGTCCGAGAGGCCATTTTCTGTGGACTCCGAAATAGGCTGGGAGGTGGGTGAGGGCAGAGAGTCAGGAGTGACCCCTTCCTGCTCCGGCGGAGCCAACTGCATGGGCATTGTGCTGTTGAGGAGGGATCGACGGATGGCATTGGGCACCCCTTCGATGGATATTTTCTTGGAGTCCTCGCCATACTGTTTGTTAGAGGTCGCTGGCCCTTTTGACGGCTGTTGTGATTCTTTTAATTCCTCCTCCTTCTTGCGCTCTGTAACGGGGTCAGAGAGTAAGGCATTTGGCGTTAAATCTGTCGGATCCAAACGCCTTCTGTCAAGTACTGATAGATGCCGCCGTATATAAACTTATAAATTGGCCACATTACGCACGGAATACAGTGGACGGCCATTCAACTCAATTTCAGGCATGTATCCAACACTGACTTTAAAACTAGCATATGCCGAAGATTACTCAATTGAACACTCATTTTGAGGAGTCATCTAGGTACACAAGAGAGGTTTTCTTTAAATCTTATACAAAGGCTCTATTTGTCTACTCACTTTGCAAGACCTGGAGCAGAGCCCACAGCAAACGCGGTGCTGACCCCAAGCTGACTGCTGATTGGCTGACTGTCGGATAGATTACCCGAGGCCTCGTGCTTATCGAAACTCCAGGACTTCTAAAAAAACCCCACAGGCCGCGTCGCAAGAGGTCACCAATGCTTGCGACTCTAGATTCGGTACTTCGTTGAGCGCGGATCTTCCAGGCCACAATACTTTTTTCACAGAGCATGCGCATATAAATATAAGTGATAGAGTGGCGCTCACCGATCGTTTTTACGGAATTCACTCATTCCGTTGTGCCTTACGGGCTCTCTCTCTCTCTCTCGAGCCCGAACCAGCAGCCGCACAGCGCCGCATGTTATAGGCAGAATGTTATTATCGACAAAGACAAGGGAGACTGGAATGGCCATTTCCGGTTTATTGGCCGTCGTCAGTCAGTCATACCAAGTCCCGAAATGTGGAACACCTGGGTTCGATCCCACAACGAGCCCGTGGCTCAGTGGTTAGAGGCGTTGGAATTATAATCAACAGGTCGCCGGATCGAGCCCCAGGTGTTCCACATTTCGGGGTTGGGTATGACTGACTGACTGACTGACGACGACTAATAAGCCAGAATTAGCCATCCCAGTCTCCCTTGTCTTTGTCGATAATAGCATTCTGCCTATATATCGAACACCGACGTGCGGCTACTGAGAGAGCCCATAAGGCACAGCGGAAAGTGTGAGTTCTGTAAGAATGATCGGTGAGCGCCCCTCCACCCTTATATATAGATATGAGTAAAATTGGGAACCAGACTGTTATAATTAACGTACCCTGCTCCTCCAGGGCTTTCGTCGCGTCCCATATGTCACAGACTGTGGCAACCACCCCCTTTTCGGCGTGGACGATCTCATCGGTCTGAAGGATCTTGACAATGCTCGGTCTGCTGAATGTGTTCATTCCCCTCTCCATGTACCGATCGTTGCCTACGCGTGCTTCACACAACTAAAACGGACACAGAGATAAATGCGATGTTTACAAATCTTTTGATTTAGGCCTATCAACAGCAAAATTCTTAAACTCAAATGCTTTACAGATGCAAGCATGCACTGTACACTTTATTTTCCTCACTACTTTCGGGAACTAGAGTGTGTAAAGTTTCCCCGGTACCGTAAAGAAGTTTCTGAACAAATATCCACTAGATTCTGAGTTCATCAGTCGTTTTGATTTCTTACATCCGTGGAGTTTCATCTCACTCTAACTTGTCCTGCGAACCCAGCCGTGGTCATTTAATAGAGCAAAAGTTAAAAACAGATCGAAAATGTTGTGCATTTCCAGTGAGTGCTGCTCACTCATGTTATTTGACTGTATTTATTCTCAGAAAGCCTCGAAGTCTAACAATTCATATTTCAGGTCGGTAACCACGACATCCGCTGGCGAAGTTGAATCCTCGGTTAACCGCATCTTGAGCCAACAGTCATGTATTGTTTATTGCATTAACCTGTCACAGAGTCAAAATGTATGGACACTAAATGTCCACCGGAATGGTCTCCTCTCCTTCCCCCCTTAGCCATCATCATCATCATCATCATCATCATCATCATCATCATCATCATCATCATCATCATCATCATCATCATCATCATCATCATCATCATCATCATCATCATCATCATCATCATCATCATCATCATCATCATCATCATCATCATCATCATCATCATCATCGTCATCATCATCATCATCATCATCATCATCATCATCATCATCATCATCATCATCACCACCACCACCACCACCATCATCATCATCATCATCAGTAGCAGCAGTACCGTCAGCGTGGAATAACGCTCGGGTGAAGCATACATCAATACATTATAGTTGTATGGCCAGTCTGACTTGCATTACCGACCCTAAGGACCTCGATTACGGCAGTCTGAATGAGTTCTATGGCTCATTCCAACGCAGTGCTTGCCCATTCTCGCAGTGAAGAATAGCTACACGAGTTTCCGTCTAGGTCGCACTGACATCGGCAAACGAGGCCTTGAAGCCGAGATGTTCGGTCGACGACTTCAGCACGCTAGGGTCACTTCGTTTTCTTTGTTTTCTCAAGGACTCCTTCACTGCCCCTAATCTCGTACGAGTGTCTGCGTGTTGCAACAGTGCGGGGAAATAGACAGATGGAAATAACTCTCAACTCACAGCCCTGTAGGCCGCATTCCGTTTATTTTGGTAGGCCACAAGCTCATTATCCGTCGACATCACGCACGGCGGCTGGTCGAAAAGCCAAAAGGTTTCAGTCTCAGTCACCAGAATGTTGACGTGCTTATCCAGCGCCGCCTTGTCCAGCACCTCCTCCAGTTCATTCGCCTTAGGCTTAAAGCCTACAAATAGGAGTGAATGGTGGGGTTCGGGGAAGAAAGGATGACTGTGGTCAAAAATTCGATCTTGGAAGAGAAAAGGCATTACTCGTTCACTTTTGCAAGAACTCGGTCTTAAATCTGCATCCTAGAACAGTGCCTAATTGATTCGAGAGCAAAGTTGAAACTCCGACTACTCATTTATTTCATAATTTGCAAAGATGATTACTAATCCCAATTACAGGATACTCATGCATGTTATTCGGGGGTCTTTACTGGCAAATGATTTTCGGGAGATCTTCCCTTACACCTTTTCCAAAATGAACTGATTTGATCTTCCCTAAAAAGCTGATAGTTTAGTGATCCATCGGTCTGGACCCATCTCTGGACTATTTACGCGCTTCCGGACGCAGCTTGAGGTGTGACTGGCTGAAGAGGGTACAAAAAGTTCACAACTACGACCGTCCCGTCTCTCCCCTCCTTACTTGTTTACCCCGGTGGCTCCACACTTAGGCACAATACAGCCTGATCCCTGAGCGCCATCTCATGACTCATATTCCAAAACTTCGGAACGTATTTGTTCCGGAAGACTAATTACATTAGTGGACGCCTATATATGTGGAAACGCAGCTATCTTGCCAATAGAAGCGAAGAGACGAGTCCCGGGAAGCAGTAGTGTGGAAGGAGACACGATCGCTGGAACAAGAGCTTTATTCGCCTGACACTTCGTATTCCTGCTCGAACCCATCATCAGAGGCAACAGCAGATACGGGTGGTTCATGCACAAGGGGCTGCAGTATTTATAGAATGCGCTCGAACCCATGCGGTAGCATGCAGCCCGTGAAGAAGTTCATTGTCAGGGATGCGAAAACGAGAGGCGTTTGTGAGACTTTAAAACCAGCCAATGATCATTCTTGCGAGTCTAGAGGTGGCTGCGCACTGGAGTGTTTGAGGGTCCGATCTATCGCCTACTGCTCTGCCTCCCGCATACGCTGCTGTTTGCAGCAATCTCCAAGCTTGCAATCTAGCTTAACTGTCAGGCCTTGTGTCACTGTTCCCTTATTTCTGGCGGTAAAATTTCTCATTAAGTCAAAAGTTCAGACAGATGAACCCAAGCTACCACCCCCAACCGGCTTTCAATCTCACTTAATATTGTAGTAAGAATGTTCTCCGCTTAAGAAGAAACGCCATCCTCTAGTCTCTCACGAATGACTGATGACTGGATTGCCAATAGAAGCGAAGAGCCGAGGCCCAGGAAGTAGTCTTGAAGAAGGAGACACGATCGCCGGGACAAGAGCTCTTGTCCCGGCGATCGTGTCTCCTTCTTCATGATGACTGGATTTAAGACGTAAGTAGGCTCGTATAGTTTTTGAAAATCTGGGGTATGCTTTTACACAAGTCTGCTTTCGATTGGTGATCTGTTATGGAGAGAAAATACGTCTTCTTTGAAAAAGGGGAGAAAGGTCTTCATGAGATCACTAATAACAAAAATGTCAGCGTTGATGAACCTATGCAGGCCTGAGACAGTTTGAATGCACTTAATAACATCAAATGAAAACAGTTACTACGCCGTTTTTCCAAGCAATGGGGCTCATAGGCTCAAGTCATTTACTCCTCTCGCCCCTAGTGGTTTTTGGTGAGGTAAGGCGAAATGGGAAGAAATTTGATTCGTACAGGGGAATATGGATCTCCCTCCATACTACAGGTGGCCTCGTGCCAAATTCCAGGGGGGATACCTATTTCCGTGTGCAAACATCAACCCTAAACCTAGCCGTAACCCTAACAATAACCCTCATAAGTCCAACCCTCCCACACACTTAATATGAGAAATCCATATTCCAGTGCCCAACCGGAATTCGGATTCTGATGACAGTAAGCGGACGAGAAATAAGAAGATTCCCAGCCTGCATCAGTCACACGAGATTTCAAGAGTTTTGTTTCAAAGCGACACTGTACAATGCCATCCCTGGAGTAAAACCCATCCGACATTTACATCCACTTCAAGTCGAGCAGTTGTGCCGACAAATACATGGACACTGGAGTGACCATTTCTGACTTATTTTCCCATATCGGTCGAGTTGTTACCCCCGCACCCGGCTCTAACTCGAGACAGCCAGTCATCAGTCAACGGGATCGCCAGTGACTCCGAATTCACGTCATGTCGACTAAGATAAGGAATATTCTGTCGCATGTTATTTGCATGCGTGAATTAGTCTAGGGGGGGTTGACTTGCGTAGCATCTACCGCACTGTCTCCTCCTCCCCACCCACCTAGGCCTCGTGTCAAGACATATTCAGAGAGACCGGAGGCGGGAGAGGGCGAATGTGGCTAGCGCGGCCGGACCCGCGCATAGGCCTACCACCACACCCTGTCGATGCAACATAGGCCATCAGACAAATCACCTCTGGCAAATGCAACACGCTAATTAGACAACACTTCTTCAACTTGTTCACCACGAACCTACAAAAGCAGCTGCCACCACTTATCCCAAGCTCTCTCCGGTATGGCTGGACAGAGTCAGCACATTCCTTGGCCTCGTCAGGGGCCATTGCTGCCAGCGAAGACAACTCAGGGTTTTGTATGCAATGAACTCGTCCTGGTGACCTTTGTGCTCTCCTACGACTGGGTGGGGCTCAGAAACGCTGTCCTGCTTGTCAACAAATTATCACTTATCTACTATTATCGATTTCAGTAGGCGGTCAACACTTATCAATTTCGCACTGTTATTGATTTCAGCAGCAGTAGTACTACTTCCGGAGACCTTAAATTTGAGGCGTTTCGCGGACTGCTACGATTGTTGATCACAATTACGTTGGGGCTCGGATTTTAGGCTAGGTTTTACGGTTTGGGGTTAGGCGTCAGGGCTAAGGCCTAGGATTAGAGTTAGGTTTTAGGGTTAGGGCTAAGGTTTAGGGTTTAGTGTTAGTGCTTACGGTTAGAGTCAAGGCGGTTCAGTTTCAATGGCCTTGACGGTCCAATAACCTCCGCTCTTCGCGGAATTGGTTTTACTGGTTGCCTGCGGTGAATATTTGCATTGCTCGATGTTTGAGCTAAGATTTAATACTCCTTAACACAAACTAGCATACCTAAGTTTTCCCTTGGTTTTCACACATTCTTCACTCTTTTCCCACAGCCCCACCAGAAAAGGCCCCTTTTACCACGCTTACCGTATTGGGTGAGCCTCGGCTTCCGCATTTCCACAGTACGACCGCGTTTCTGAGCCTTGTCAGGATTCGGCCTGATGATTGTAGCACTTTGGATAAAAACATTGCTCAGATGCCACAATCCTTCCTATCTGTCAGTTGATCACATAAGAAATGGCTACTAAACCTTTTCGTGCTTCTAAGTGGTAAGACAAAGTTTCCCGCGAGTCAGCATGATGAGTAGGAGGCAGTTAATTAACCCACTGCTAGCGGGAAAGTATTTGCCGGTTCCCTAAAGTGCGCATTACTTGGAAAAACAATTCCGAGTTTCCAGTTTTATCCGGCATGTCTATATGATACGGGATGCCCTGGGTGATAGAAGCGTAAAAAGACCCTTTGGGTGAGAGAAAGATGTCCGACAACCTTGAAGACACGAACCTGCAAATGTACTTTCCTTCTTCTTGGAGGTTTCCTCGCTTGTGTCGGTGGTTGAGTCCATAAAGGGGTTTGAGATGCTGACTGCAGAACGCGAAAATGCAGTCCCATGATGCGGGATCGAGGAGGCTTGCAGCACTGATGGATCCAGGGTCTTGTTTGGGAGATTTTAATATTAACCAGACAACTTAGGACGAAATATGCATCAGTAAATGACAAAAAAATCAAGAGTAAGCGATTGATGAACAAGCTACTTTAAATGCTTCTTATTGGTGGCCACTGTAATATGGACCGGTCGCTAAATAGACGAATTCCCGTAGTTTCTGCCGATAACTTTCTCATATCACAAATGACTTGATTCTTCGATCACTCCAGGCGTCGAATCCGCAGAGGGCAAGAAAAGCCCATGGTACAGAAATACCATTTCGATCTCATGTGAGAACACGATCGACATTACCATCTTGTCTTTTTATTTCCTTCGCAAGACCAAATTTTAAGGCCCACTAACTAGACCGTTGATCTGAAGATTTCGGTTTACTATTTCTACTGATTGCTCGACAATGAGCACTAGAGAGTGAGGAGGGAGTTCTGGATGGAAGGAAAAAGTGATTAATACGGTGAATGGGGGTCGTAAACGGTCACAGTTTCCCTAACGTACAACCGTCAACAGCTGGTCCGTCGGTCTTTCCAGCATGAACTGCCCGTTTTGCCGACTTATACTCGCGTAAAACAACCCAACTTACATAACCTGAGGTGCTTTTAATACTGCGGAAGTTGATTACTTCAAAAATTTCGATCGCCAAACAAGGCTACTTGGGGATGGCAAAGCCTGTTATAGGTCTCTTGACGAACAAATAAAATGTCTAACGTTTGATGGAGGCTCGCAAAAACCCTCTATGAAGTCAATCATGTTTGGCTTAAGGGATTATCTGTCATGAATGACATCCAGACGAGTGGTTGGGGCTGTCCTCCTAGAAAAGTCATTATGACTGCGCATGGATTAAAGCCAGACCATATGATATTTACATCATTACTGTGGTGCCATCTCAACAGTATTTCTGGCTCTGTGTCTTAAATGCCTACTAGTTGCTACTAATTTTATGTGAGTAGTTCGGATGTCTGCATTATAACTCCCTCCACGGTTCATGCTCCTTGTAGGGCAGAGTAGTGACCTAGGCATTATGGGTGGGCCAGAAATCATACTCCCTGTAGGTTATACTTCACTTGTACATAAGAATTTTCTTGCGCTTTAAAAATTTCGGGACACATTGTAAATGAGTCCCTCAAAAATAGACTGACAGTTATGTGAAAATACTACTAAATATCTGGGTGGATTTTTAAAGGAGAATAGAAAATCGCAACCGTAATCATCGGAGCAACAAGCTCCTTATCCATTAACTTCACCTAACACATACGCATCTATTCTTCCTATACAAAACTCATTGTTATTGGCTCTTTGGCCATCCCTGAAGCGTTACCTTTCCATATAGCAGACAACAGCGTTTTACCGTATAAACAGATAATTCGACCGAGGCATGCAATGCGTTCCACCACTGTCCCGCGATGTTAGCCCATCTGAAACCTGCGCAGTAAAGTAGACTTAAGCTGCAATTGTCTTACTTCATTATTCTCACACACGACGCAGGAACTTGACTAGATTTATCTTGTGATGATATAAACAGTTTGGAAAAAAAGAACACGACTCTTATTAAAAAGCATGAAGTTATGGTTAAAATGGTGATTAAAAAGGAGCCTACATTCTCCTTCTCCTGTTCTTTTCTTCTCCGATCATCGATGATCATTGGCAGGGGTGTGATGTCATTTCCCTCGTCGTCGTAAAGACGGAGAGGACCAACGGATCCATTCGAGTCTGAGCCTGACTTTTTTGGACTGGCTCCGGACAAACCCGTTAGGGACCTCCTGTTACCCGTAGACAGTCGTCTGCCCATCTGGACACTCATCTTTTAGAGCATATGCGGTCAGTCGACAGAAGTGTAGCAAAAGTCTCGCGGAAAGAACTGAAGGTGGAAAAATAAGAGATAAAAGTATAACACAGGGAACGAAAGGGAGAGCGAGAAAGTAAGTGAAACCGAATGCTGTTATACTACAGCAACACTAATAGCAGCATGCTTTCGAATAAGTAGTCGAATATTCTTGAATAGCCTGTTTATTTTTGGCCTTTTTAATGCGTATACTTTCAATGTCCATCGCCAATTTCTTTTATATGGCTCCATTCATTGGTAAAAACGTTGATATCGGCAGACTGCACCTGCGGTATATTTAAAAAAACAAAAGAACAACTGAACACAAAACAAGATCAGCATTTGAAGTTTTTTCAATAATGACCTGTGTTACGCACTCTTTCACCAAAGTTCTGGCTACAAAACCATAACGTTCCTCAATTTCGAAAAGGATTGAAGTAGTCGCCATTGAAAACAAGTACAATTGATTTCTATATTTTCAGAAATCTGTAAATTTGTTTGTGATTACTCCAGAAGGATGTAAATTGGCGTATATCGGCCTCCATACTTCATAGTTAGACGGAACATATTACGTTACAAACGTTAGTTCACAAATAGAAGGTCACAGGGCAATAGAGCCCATAGCGTCGTCAATGAGCGCCTTCTACGATAGTTAATATGCCTGACGGGATAACTTGGACCTCCTTGACTGGAGGTCTAAGAGTCAGGCTGCAATGACTCCCTCTTAATGTGGCCTTTATGGCACTCCCACTGTGTGGGATCAGAGCCAGGCGTCAGCGGCACGCCTAGGTGCGGCTTCGGCCGTGCCGGCCTCCAAATCTCTGTTGTGTTGGTGAAAATCCTGGTTATTGTTGTGTGAACCAGGGGGTGTGGTGGAACGCCAAGGCGAGGATCCGTCCTAGCCATCCACCTGCGGCCTCCCCCGTCTCCGGTCTTCTTGACTCTGTCTCTACACCGGGCCCAGGCGGCGGAGGAGGAGAGAGTGTAGGCAGATGCAGCGCAAGTCTACTGGCACTATAAACCCCTTCGTAAGTCACCGTCCCTGCTCCCACCGCTGCTGCTGCGGGGGCACACGGTGGACATAATCGAAATCGATGGTCGAACTATCAATATGCCTGATTGTAGCCGATAGGATAACGAGCCTGTGGCTCAATGGTTAGGACGTTGGACCTCCAACGAACAGAACATGGGTAAGAATCTCAGCAGTTGCAAACCTGGGGTTGGGCATTTCGGGCTGATTACGGCTAACAAGCCATAAGTGACCATATCAGTCTCTCTTATCATTCTCGGTTATCTCTTTCTGTTTATATATATATATATATGAGGTGGTACCGAGGGAGACAGGACCGGTCATTTTTGGCTTATTAGCTGTTGTCAGTCAGTCATACCAAAGCCCAAGTGTGGGCCTTTTTAGATTCTACCGCATTACTAGCCGCTCTGCGACTGCCCGAGAGGGTTCTAGCATGAGCTAGACTAAGCGTCGTAGGCCGATAGGAGTAAAAACATGCCGTCTGCTTTTTAATGCTCTTTGTTTTAAGAACCTTTTCTTTACAGGCACGTTTTACTTTAGACCATCCTTAAGCCGCCGTTCCACTAATATGCCGTTTCGGTAGTTTTGTAAATTTTACTTAGGTAAGCTACTTGTTTTTTGAAGAGTTATCCCGGAAGATCAGGAGAAAACGTAATGTCCATATTAACGCCACCATGCTTTTTATCATAGACACAAAAACTGACTCATCTAATCCTAAACTGGAACAGACCACAAAAACAGGAAGAAACTGAAAATTAGACAACTGCTATAAAAATGTAATGTTTTCACTAAAATAAGACTAAAGAATTTGCCTAAAGCTAAGCGTGTTGAAGACTAAATAGTATAAAGCGAGTGAATGCGACCTTTATGAAGCTAGACTGTCAGAGATAATTTTAAATAGATACACTTACAGTCATCTTAAATTATCGTATAACTAAAAAGCACAAATGACAGAATAGAATTAAAACGTAGCGTATAACCAAAATGTGTCCTGCTAATCTCAAAAGTCGCACCAGTCCAGCTCTTACTGAATTTTCCACCACGATGACTTCTGATAGCGCCACCCCCATTTAAACCGATTTCGGAAGCCTCCTTGGGAACAAAATCCGGAAATCTGCTCCGGGGTTTTGTTTGCATACGGTACTTTAAAATCTCTATTCATTGAACCTGACAGTCATTTTAAAGTCAAAAGCTAAGTTCTATTGCAGGGTTTCAGTCTGTTCGCCAATCAAGGATGATAGATCATCCCATAAACTACCAGAAATTATGTTGTAAGCTAGATATTTCAAATCATTTCCCAGTAAAAGAGCTTGCTTGGACGGCGAGGACATAGGAAATATTGCTCTTTTATGTAAAAAATATACTCAGTCATCAAAGTTCTTGAAAACACCGACGCTTTCAAGTAGGTGGTTTATTAATCAGATAAATACGTGAAAGCCACATATGAGCAAGTCCCATGGTCCTCATCGTGGTTCCTGGGGCTAGACCGTTCTAATTCAAAGACTGACCACTGGAAATGCAATAGCAGACATTTGAAGGCCACAAAGACTCTCTAACAAGTAATGCCCAAATCTGTTCTTTTTAAACAGGTCAGTACGCACAAACACTTTCGGGGCTCATAATTAACTTATAATTAAAATGTCATTATCTCTGAACCTTTCCACATCTGAATGTTACCTCTGATCTGCATGTCCTCCCAGACAGGTCTGGAGAATGGACGTCATTTTTACGATTACTAATCTTGGTGAAAATCCCTTTTAGCTAAGGTTATTTTTTCAGGCAGTCTCATTGCCCCTTATGTATCGCCACAATACAACCTATCTATATTAGGTTGCAAAAGTTTGTAACGCATTGACTACCGTTCTCCTGTTTGAAGAGGGATATCGATACAATCTATTATACATATTTTCCACTATTTCTTCTAAGAATCCGTCTTCTCATGAGACAAAAAAGTCAGTGGATAACTATAATTATCCATAATCCCGTACGACATTATGTTGGGGCCTTTTTCCACTCCTTCATCGTGTAAGAAAATAAATTAAACAGCCCTCAACATATAGTGTCAACACGTGTTTACACTATATTTCGACGGCTGTTTAATTTATTTTCTCACACAATTAACAATATACAGACCCTGAGTCATTATAATGACTCATTACATGTTGAGTAAAAAACTGTGGTTTATACGGAGTCAACTGCATACTTGCTTTGTGCACGTGGCAAAAGATCAACTTCCTATGCATATCTCAGATCGTCCATTTAAGTTTTCCCTCATAAGGGCAAAAAATATATAAAATAAGAATTAAATAACCAAATGCCGCGATTTCTTCTAAAATATGTCTTCTCATGAGACAAAATATTGCATTGAAAATATGGCAAAAATCTTAGGCGTGCTCAATTCTTCGGAGATTTCCTCGTCATTTACTCTAAATTAAGAGATTTAGTTCATCCACGATAACAAAACGCACATTTTTAAATAAAGCGCGTCTTCGTTGCCTATAGGAAACGTTCACGCACTCAGACGTTAGAAAATAAGATTTATCCAGAAAAGTAGGCATAGTGATTATTTTGCGGTTTTTCTGGGACAGTACCAAATTGGGACCAAGACAGACGCCGAAATCTCTTGCAAAGTTAAGAAACGGATGGTAGAGGAGAGCAGCAAACAGATAAAGGGAACTAAGATAGCGTGCGGGAGATCAGAAATGAAAAGACAGAAGCGAAGATGTGGCAAACGGGCTAAAATAAACAAAATGTGGGAGGGTGAAAAAAATATGAAGAGTACAAATGGAAGAAACCCTGCCAGCACCAGCCTCGCCCACCCCCTTCAAACAACACAAGGCTGATAGGGGAGGCATGAGTGAGCTTAGACGAGGAACGTGGCGGAGTTGTCAGCAGCCCGGGCTACTGAGGGTATTTTATGCCCTGTTTGACGACGAGGCGTCCATGCACGTCAATTTCCGAGGAAAAAAACCAAGGAGGGCCTGTGCGGGTCACAGGTATACGAGGTGATAATGGGTAGGCCCTTGCTTACATGTAACTCTGCATTGAAAACAGACGTTTCTGCCGCTTGTAATATGGGAGGGAGAGTCAATGTATATGACCTCGAGGCCGCCTTCACAAGGCGGCGGAAGAGATCACTCCACGCCCTTCGAAAAAGACGATCTCGGCCGGATTCCCTTATTGATGACTCTGACGGTAAGTGAAACTGAAGTATTATTACACATACTTGGTTTAGAACCCTCAACAGAACCCTCCTCGTACCGGCCGCGAGAGGAATAGTGCCCAGAATAATTGTTTTTTTTTATTTTTATGATAAATCATTATTTATACCATGTCAAAACGGCTTCCTTCAACTTTCGTGGGGGGGAGGGGGTTCCGTAGTTCGTTTAGTACTAAATCGGATGGGAGTTGAGAAAAAGAGCTTTCGTAGGGGCTAAAACGGAAAGGTCGCTAAGGAATGCCGTCCCGCAGCTGCATAGCGCCGTATCGCGACTTTTCGCCATTGTTCCCATAGCGACCACATGGAAAAAATCCGCTCTAAATCGGTCATTTTATCGCGACTTTTCCACAGCGAGGCGCCGTCACCTCGCTATGTAATTGCAACTAGGGCCATTTGTTGCGTTTTTGCCATCTTTTACGATATTGACTCTGTTCCCCACACTATATTTCGCTAAATGTTGGCCGTTAATACCCGCCATGTTTCCAGGCACAATAACAGCAAAATTTTAGAAAAGGAACTATATATACTTTATTGGAATCGAAGGTTGGGCATTGGTATTTTTAAATTAATAGATATGTCGCCTTTCGTGGAACGTGAAAAGCTGGACCCGGGTTCTCAACGACAGGCACGTTGTTCACACTGATCTCATTGACTTCCAAAAGGCGTTCGACACTTGCGTCATCAAGAACTGTTATAAAAGCTGGAAAAAAAGGATCATATGTGAACTGC